TTAATTTTTTGCTCCTCCCTCCTCCTCCTCCTCCCTCTGCACAGGACTATTGTTTATCTGTCAATTGTTTATGCAGTGGGACAGATCATCCTGTCTGTAAGTGCTGTCAATGACATCACAGATAAGGACATAGATGGCACCCCTGACAACATGGCTTTACACATGTGAGTTGAGCACACACAGAATGGTATAACATAGTGGGAATACAGTGGATAAACAGACAATGTGTCTGTGCTGTGTTTTCCCTCCAGAGCTCTGTCCATGGTGGGTTTGCTCCTTATTGCTCTGGGAACAGGTGGAATTAAACCCTGTGTGGCTGCTTTTGGTGGAGATCAGTTTCAAGAACATCAGGTTGGATGTTGCTCAAGCACACACTCATATTGTATGATACACAGTAAATCAAATCAAATTTTATTTGTATAGCACCAAATCACAACAAAAGTCATCTCAGGACACTTTACAAAGTAAGGTCTAGACCTTACTGTTATCAATATTATTACATAGGGAAAACCCAACAAATTCCCCTTGAGCAAGCACTTGGCGACAGTGGGGAGGAAAAACTCCCTTTAACGGAAGAAACCTCCGACAGACCCCGGCTCTTGGTGGGCGGCCTTCTGCCTCGACCGGTTGGGGTGAGTGGATAGAGGAGAGACAAAAGAAGAAAAGCAACAAGACACAACAATCAAACACTGATCAGGTCGATGTGGCCGGTGACTGCTCGTCAGAGACATAGAGCTCCAGGGCCAGGGCAACCTGCAGAAAGGTACAGGGAGAGAGAGAGAGGACACACTACGGGAGAAAGGAGACACAAAGTTAGTAATGTGTAATGGAGGCATATAGAAGCATAGGGAGAGAGAGGAGAGGAGAGCAGAGCAGAGCAGGAGGGGAGGGGAAAGAAACTCAGAGCAGCATGGGGCCCCCCAGCAGCCTAGGCCTAGAGCAGCATAACTAAGGGAAGGCTCAGGGTCACCTGATCCAGCCCTAACTATAAGCTTTATCAAAAAGGAACATCTTAAGTCCAATCTTAAAAGTAGAGAGGGTGTCTGCCTCCTGAACTGAGACTGGGGGTTGGTTCCATAGGAGAGGAGCTTGATAGCTAAAGGCTCTGCCTCCCATTCTGCTTCTGTGGACTCTAGGAACCACAAGTAAACCTGCACTCTGAGAGCAAAGTGCTCTGTTAGGATGATAAGGCTCTACGAGGTCTTTAAGATACAATGGAGCCTTGTCATTAAGGGCTTTGTATGTTAGGAGAAGGATTTTAAATTCTATTCTGAATTTTACAGGGAGCCAGTGGAGAGAAGCTAATATGGGAGAGATATGATCTCTCTTGCTAGTTCCTGTCAGTACTCTGGCTGCAGCATTTTGGATTAACTGGAGGCTTTTTAGGGAATTATTGGGACATCCTGATAGTAAAGAGTTACAGTAGTCCAGCCTGGAAGTAACAAATGCATGGACCAGTTTATCAGCATCACTTTGAGACAGGATGCTCCTAATTTTTGCAATATTGCGCAGGTGAAAGAAGGCAGATCTAGAGACTTGGTTTATGTGTGATTTAAAGGACATATTCTGATCAAAGATGACTCCAAGGTTCCTCACAGTAGTACTGGAGGCAAGAGCTATGTCATCTAAAGTAACTATATGATTAGACAGCAGATTTCTAAGGTTTTCAGGCCCAAGCACAATAACTTCAGTTTTGTCAGAGTTTAGAAGTAAGAAGTTACAGGTCATCCAGGCCTTTATGTCTTTAAGACATGCTTGAAGTTTGACCAGCTGACCTGATTCATTTGGCTTCATAGATAAATACAACTGAGTATCATCTGCATAGCAATGGAAATTTATGTTGTGCTTCCTGATAATATTGCCTAAAGGGAGCATGTACAAAGTGAAGAGAACTGGACCTAACACAGAGCCCTGTGGAACGCCGTGACTAACTTCAGTTTGTGTGGAACATTCGTCATTAACATGAACAAATTGAAATCTTTCTGATAAATAAGATTTGAACCAACTTAGCGCAGTTCCTTTAATCCCAATAACATGTTCAAGTCTCTGCAGTAAGATGCTGTGATCAATGGTGTCAAAAGCAGCACTGAGATCTAAGAGGACAAGTATGGAGACAAGTCCTTTGTCCGAGGCTAGGAGAAGATCATTGGTGACTTTCACCAATGCGGTTTCTGTACTATGATGGACTCTAAATCCTGACTGAAAATCCTCAAACAAATCATTCTTGTGCAAGTGGTCACATAACTGCTTTGCAACAGCTTTTTCAAGGATTTTAGAAATAAACAGGAGATTGGATATTGGTCTTTAATTAGCTAGGACACCTGGGTCAAGAGTAGGCTTTTTGAGTAGAGGTTTAATTACTGCAAGTTTAAAAGCCTGTGGAACATAACCTGTTAATAGAGAGAGGTTAATCAGATCTAGTATGGATGTGTTGATTAGGGGAAAGACGTCTTTGAGCAGCCTGGTCGGGATGGGGTCCAGGAGACATGTTGATGATTTAGATGAAGCAATTGTTGAGGTCAACTCAGAGAGATCTATAGGGGAGAAGTAGTCCAAGTATAAATGAGGTCTTACAGATGTTTCTAAAGCCATTGTAGTAGATGGCACATCTGCGAGAGCTGTGGGAGTGGTCCGACCAATTTTTTCTCTAATAGTTGTGATTTTATTTGTAAAGAAGCTCATGAAGTCATTGCTGCTGAGATCTAAGGGAATGTTAAGCTCAACAGCACTGTGGCTCTTTGTCAGCCTGGCTACAGTGCTGAAAAGAAACCTGGGGTTGTTCTTATTTTCCTCAATCAGTGATGAATAAAATGCGGTTCTGGCACTATGAAGGGCTTTCTTATATGTTATTAAACTATCTTTCCAGGCTATGAAAAACTCTTCTGACTTAGTGGAGCGCCACCTCCTTTACGCAGGAAGGCTGCAGTACTATCAACAAGATTATCGATTTGTGTGGGAGTAAAGTTAAGGTGGCCTCCTTCCACTGTGTTGGCAAACGGCACTGAAGTAGATAAATTATTTCCTTAAACTTGGTAACAGCATTGCCAGATAGACATCTGCTGTAGTGGAATTGTTTCCCACATAGAGTATAATCCATTAATGGAAATTCAAAAGTTATTAGAAAATGGTCAGACAGAAGAGAGTTATGGGGAAAAACTAAAAAACACATTACAATACAACTTTATAGTCAGTTTTTATTTTAAAATTTATTATTTCCATTCACTGAAATACTGTGTACATGGTAAGTCTCTACAAGCTTTGTATCTTTTAATTTGGGCAGTTTATCTCGTTCTTCCTGTCAGATCTTCTCAAGCGCCATCAAACAGATGGAAATATCTGAACTGCCATCTTCAGGTCTCTCCACAGATGATTTATGTGATTAAAGTCTGGCCTTTGACTGGGCCACTCAGGGACAGTCAGAGACTTGTCCTGAAGCCACTCCAGCATTGTCTTGGCTGTATGTTTCAGACAACTGTTGTGCTGAAAGGTGAACCATCAGCCCAGTCTCAGGTCTCTGCACCCTGGAGCACCTTTGTTCAAGGCCCTCTCTGTATTTAGCTGCATTCATCAATCTCTCAATTCTGACCAGTCTCCTGTCCCTGCTGCTGAAAAGCCCCCTCCCATAGCATGATGCTGCCACCACCATGTTTCACCATAGGGATGGTATTAGCAGGTGATGAGCAGTGGCTGGTGTTCTCCAGACATAGTGCTTGGACTTCAGTTTTTGTCTCATTAGACCAGAGAATCTTTTTCTTCATGCTCTCTGTTTGATAAACTCCAAGCAGCTGACATTTACTTATGTTTCACTTTGTCATTATGGGTTATTGAGTGTAGATTGATGGGCATAATTGACCAGCATGCAAAAGCTGCATGGGAATTTCTGAAGCCACTGTACATGCTGGACACTGGTATTATCTCTCTTTCTCTGATACACAGCAATTAAAAAAGATATCAGCTATCAGTGGCATCTGGTCAGCACTTCTTGTATCTATGTTTCATTCCAACTACTTGGTTGTTAATTAACAACCATGAATTAATTTCTCTCAGTGATTTTATAAGTGTTCAGGGCCAGGGAGAAAGATTACCCTATAATATTAATGACACAGGTGAAATAAGAGTTTGGAAAAATGTATTTATAAATCTGTATCATGTTTTCTGTCTCAGACTTGTTTAACATCCTGTGTCTAACAGGAGAAGCAGAGAAGCACCTTCTTCTCCATCTTCTACCTGTCCATCAATGCTGGCAGTCTGCTGTCCACTCTCATCACTCCCATCCTCCGAGGTAGGGCAGGGCACTGAAGTCAATCACAGGCCATAAAATATGTATCTGACACGCATATGGCTTTAAAAATTGTGTTTATATCTTTGTGTGACTTCCAGGTCAGAAGTGTGGTATCTACTCTGAGCAGCAGTGCTACCCACTGGCCTTTGGTGTGCCTGCTGTTCTAATGGTAGTCGCTCTGGGTAAGAACTAGTTTTTATAAACAGCTCTACTGTCTGTATGACCAGTGCTATTTTGATAAAAGGCATTAATACATTAATATTAAAAGTCTCCTCTGGATGTTTTTAAAAATGTTAATTATTTATTATAATAATTTGTGCCTGGTGTTTTATTACCAAAATTAAAATGATTAAAATTACATATACTTTTCACCTTCACTGAAAAATCCAGAATCAATGAATATATGAATATAGTTAATTTCAAATGAAAGAAAAAATTTGAATGACATGGGCATATACTGTCATGTTGCATTACGGGAACTGTAGGACCCAGTGTTTATGGCATACTAGAAATTAAACATCAGGATATCTCAGCCTCTGCTACTTCAGTTTTGATTGTTTTTTAAAATCTATCTCTGTCTTGTGAGCCTCTCCAACATAATGACAGCATAACCCTGCATGGCTGGAGTTCCCCTTTAATAAATCATTTATAAATACTTTTACAGTTAAGAAATAGGCCATTTGTAAAACAATAAACATCTTAATAGTTTTTAGTATGGAAAAATGATTTACTAACCATTCAGAAACCTATTACAGTAGTTACAACTTATAAACCCTTTATTGCATTCAGTAAAGTATGTTTTATAGGAAGATGGTACCATAAGATAAGAGATAACATAAGATAACTTAATGGTTTTCTACAAATTATGTCACTTTTTCCTGGTGATTTCCTATGACAAACAGTCACATATTCATATAGATATGTGTGTTTTATATGTGTGTCTCTGCAGTTGTGTTCATTATTGGAAGTAGGATGTACAATAAGACTGCCCCTCAAGGCAACATCTTGGTGAAAGTCTGCAAATGCATTGGGGTGAGTGGCTTTTTAAAGACGACCACGTTTGTCTAAATATTTTTCAGCATCACAGTGGTTTTAAATAGAATGTAGGAATAGCCAATTTCTTCAAACTTTAGTGAACTTTCACTTACAGCAACAAAATGGATTCTGGTTAGAAACAAAACTCAGGGAAATGTCCTTTCATCTATCTGTAGTTTGCTCTCAAGAACCGCTTTAGGCATCGTTCTTCTCAGTACTCTAAGAGAGCCCATTGGATGGACTGGGCTGAGGAGAAGTATGATGTAAGTGCAGTATACACACAAACAAGCAAATACAAACAGCACATTCAGTTATATAAGAAGTGTAATGATTTCTGGTTTTGGTCTAGAAACTCCTGATTGCCCAGGTGAAGATGGTGCTCAAGGTGCTGTTCCTCTACATCCCTCTGCCCATGTTCTGGGCTCTTTTTGACCAGCAGGTAGCTACCTCTGTCCTCCCTCATACACTGTATGTGTGTGCATGAATGTGATATTTTTAGTCCACTAAGCCATTCAAATAAGTTTCTAATTAACAGCAAATTTCAGTAAAAACAGAGATAATAATTCATACCTAAAAGTGTGCTGGCAATGGCAGAATCCAAAGACAGACTAATAAAAACTGTCTCCTCCACAGGGCTCAAGATGGACCATCCAAGCAACAACCATGAACGGTGATTTTGTAAGTTTTTTTAAAGCGTTTTTGTGACGTCACACTTTCAATGCTCAAACCACAGAATAACTTGCTTCTAAATGAGATTCTGTCGTTCTCCTTTTTTTATTTTCAACAGGGATTTTTCGTACTGCAGCCTGATCAGATGCAGGTGAGGCACTTGTGTTGATTATACCAAGGTGTAGTGTCATTTGTTCTACATGCTATTGGTGTAAACTGATAGAACAGCCTTTAAAAGAGTGACTCGCCTTCTTCCCACCAGATTGTCAACCCTATCCTGATACTGGTTTTGGTGCCAATCATGGACAGTGTGGTCTACCCACTCATTTCCAAGTGCAATTTAAACTTCACGTGAGTTTTTTATTCCTGTATAAAGGAAAATATTACATTATTCTAACCCTGGAATATAGGTATAATTTAGTCGCTTAGTACCTTTTATTCACATGTATGATATCATTTTCTTCAGCACTTGGCTACAGTCTGACTCATCATTATCATTATGTCAGTTTAATTTATGTATACAGCTGCCACGACCCAAAATACAGGAAAAATGACAGCCCAAATAAACTGTTACTTTGGCCTCCTGAAACCATAGCTATAGAGATACAAAGATGAACTCAAATGTGTGTGTACATGTTTGTGTGTTTGCTGTGCAGACCATTACGGAGGATGACAGTAGGGATGTTCCTCGCTGCTCTCGCATTTGTGGCTGCTGCTCTGGTCCAGATAGAGATTGATGTAAGAATAACAGAAATAAAAGCACACTGGGAAATGTACAGTAATCACATGACCTTACGAGGCGCAATTCTGTTCCTCTTCTAGAAAACCCTGCCTACATTCCCATCTGGCACAGTGTCCCAAGCAAAGTTCATCAACATGCTAAACAAACAGCTGGACATCAAGGCTGGACCCAAAGAGTTTACCTTGCAGCCTTTCACGGTACTCTCGTTAATATAAGACTCAGTACACAGACACTAAATATTCAAATGTACTAAAACTTAGTCACCATGTTCATATACAGGTGCATCTCAATAAATTTGAATATTGTGGAAAAGTCCATTTATTTCAGTAATTCAACTCAAATCATGAAACTTGTGTATTATATAAATTCAATACACATAGACTGAAGTAGTTTAAGCCATTGGGTCTTTTAACTGTGATGATTTTGGCTCACATTTAACAAAAACCCACCAATTCACTATCTCAATAAATTAGAATATGGTGACATGCCATTCAGCTAGTCAACCCATAACACTTGCAAAGGTGTCCTGAGCCTTCAAAATGGTCACTCAGTTTGGTTCACTAGGCTACACGATCATGGGGAAGACTGCTGATCTGACAGTTGTCCAGAAGACAATCATTGACACCCTTCACAAGGACGGTAAAACACAAACATTCATTGCCAAAGAAACTGGCTGTTCACAGAGTGCTGTATCCAAACATGTTAACAGAAAGTTGAGTGGCAGGAAAAGGTATTGAAGAAAAAGATGCACAACCAACCGAAAGAACCGCAGCCTTGAGAGGCTTGTCAAGAAAAATTGATTCAAGAATTTGGGTGAACTTCACAAGGAATGGACTGAGGCTGGGGTCAAGGCATCAAGGGCCACCACACACCACCGTGTCAAGGAATTAGAATAGTTGTCATATTCCTCTTGTCAAGCCACTCCTGAACCACAGACAACGACATCAGAGGCGTCTTAGCTGGGCTAAGGAGAAGAAGAACTGGACTGTTGCCCAGTGGTCCAAAGTCCTCTTTTCAGATGAGAGCAAGTTTTTTATTTCATTTGGAAACCAAGGTCCTAGAGTCTGGAGGAAGGGTGGAGAAGCTCATAGCCCAAGTTGCTTGAAGTCCAGTGTTAAGTTTCCACAGTCTGTGATGATTTGGGGTGCAATGTCATCTGCTGGTGTTGGTCCACTGTGTTTTTTGAAAACCAAATTACTGCACCCGTTTACCAAGACATTTTAGAGCACTTCATGCTTCCTTCTGCTGACCAGCTTTTTGGAGATGCTGATTTCATTTTCCAGCAGGATTTGGCACCTGCCCACACTGTCAAAAGCACCAAAAGTTGGTTAAATGACCATGGTGTTGGTGTGCTTGACTAGCCGGCAAACTCACCAGACCTGAACCCCATAGAGAATCTATGGGGTATTGTAAAGAGGAAAATGAAAAATAAGAGAGCAAAAAAATGTAGATGAGCTGAAGGCCACTGTCAAAAAAACCTGGGCTTCCATACCACCTCAGCAGTGCCACAGACTGATCACCTCCATGCCATGCCGAATTGAGGTAGTAATTAAAGCAAAAAGAGCCTCTACCAAGTATTGAATACATATACAGTAAATGAACATACTTTCCAGAAGGCCAACAATTCACTAAAAATGCTTTTTTATATAGGTCTTATGAGGTATTCTAATTTATTGAGATAGTGAATTGGTGGGGTTTTGTTAAATGTGGGCCAAGATCATCACAATGAAAAGACCCAACCGCTCAAACTACTTCAGTCTGTGTGTACTGAATTTATATAATACACAAATTTCACCATTTGAATTGAATTACTGAAATAATTGGACTTTTCCATGATATTCTAATTTATTGAGATGCACCTGTATACCAAAGACTGAAGGACATATTGATGTTGAGTCATCTAATTTTTCCTATAGGCCAGTGACGATTACTTGACATCTGACACACCGTTAAACCTGACTCTGGGTCCTGATGCTGCTTACAAACTCAATTTACCAATGGGCAATCGGAGTACCGTGGTCATTACTCGGGATGGACCACAAAAACCCTGCCCTACAATTGTGAGCATGCCTACAGATAGGAATAACATCTGATTAAAATGACATTTTCTTGTCTGGTCCACCATATATATTTGTACTCTAAATCATTTCCTGTGTTCCTCTTTGAGAAAAAGGTCTTAATTTGGACAGGCTCATGTCCAAATTAAGAACCATGCCTTTATTTCTAAATTCCCCTGCTCCCAAGTCAATGCAAACTCAAAGTTTTTCTTTTCCATAAAATTTACCCAGTGTACTGATAAATTCAGTGCAATGTCCAGTGCCAATTCTACATTATACAGATTCTATGACAAAAGGAGCATTTATGATAGTTCCCGATCTATATAAAGGCTTGTTTTTAATTATATAAGTAATAACAACTATTAACAATATATTTAAAAAAAACAAGTTGGAATCATTTTTGACAACAAATGCCTGTTTCATTTACTCATGAATTATATCAAATTTAACACTAAAGTATCTATCTATCTTTTAGTTCAGTGACCTCAAATCAAAGCCGGATCAGGGAGCTAATGCTATCAGGCAAGTTTCAAACAGTTTTTAAGATTACAGGAATGAACTTGTATAGAAGGCCTGAGTGGCAATGTGTAATTACTTTGTTGTTTCATTTTTTTATGGTGGCTTACAAATTTTTATTTATTTATTTTTTTGCTTCCAGCAAAGTTGCAGAGGTAAACTGATTATTAACAACATGATTGACTGTAACATCCAAAGTTTTGTTTTGTCTTTTTTTAAGGTACAGAAAGATTAGATATAGATCAGGCAATGGCAGAGAAGATGGTTGTTTTTTAGATTTTTGCATCCTAACCTGTTTTGCTTGCTTTAAACAAATCAATATCTACCTCATGTTTATTTTAGGACACCTTGGTTGGTCTTGACCTTTTAGTTAGGAACCACTGCTTTAGATGACACATGTTATGGACAGAAAAGCCTTGAAAAGCCATGAAAAAATGATGGTATATATTGTAGTTATGTTACATTAGCTGTTTAGCTAGCCTGTCATAACAACAAGCTATTTATATTTTTTACTAAAGATCTTTAGATAACTTAAGGACCAAAATGAACTGCCTCAAGATTTTATTCAAACAAGACAAATGATTTTAAGATTTAAACGCTGTCACTGAGTTTTTTATCATTCGATGTGTTCTGACTTCTTCTTCCCCAGATTTTTGAATGGCTTTGCCTCAGATCTGAATGTAACAGTTGGGGAGAAAGACTTTGGGGCCATTTACACCAACAATGTGTCAAGATATGAATTGGTGCCACAGGGAGAGTATGAATATTTCATTATATACCAAAGTGACATATCACATACTAGAGAAAAGTCTTTCCTCTGACTGGTGCTTTTCTTATGTCAGTGCTAAGTTCCACATCAAGAACAATGGACAAAAGTGTATCTACAGCCAAAAACTGGGCTTCGGCAGCTCCTTCACCTTGATCATTCAACCAAATTTCACAACTGAAACAAATGTGAGTCGTGGATACATTCTGCACCACAATATAGCCTGAGTGTAACTTTGTGACTAAGGTAACACCTCTGGGTATCTGTCTGTGTTCGGTAGTGTGGAAAGAGCATCCGGCCAGTGATGGATATTGAGCCTAACACTGTACACATGGCCTGGCTGATTCCCCAGTATTTCCTCATCACTGCAGGAGAGGTGGTCTTCTCTGTCACTGGCTTGGAATTCTCCTACTCACAGGTTGGAAAAGACTGAAAACATAAAAGAAGCACTTGAAAATAAAGTCTGACCTAGCATCAAATATGTAAAGATTGACAGTTTCTTGATGTCTTTAATCCATTCCTTTTGCTACTTTATCTTTATCTATATTATCTTTATCTTTATCCTTTATCTACTTTATATTTCATTTGTATTTTGTGGCATTCATGTGAACGGCAAAGTAAGAATTTCATTGTACAGGGAAACGTGTTTCTTAACTGTGCATATGACAAATAAACACTTTGACCTTTGACCTTGACCTTTGCTATCCAGGCGCCCAGCAATATGAAGTCTGTGCTGCAGGCTGGTTGGCTGTTAACCGTTGCTGTGGGAAACATCATTGTGCTCATTGTTGCAGAGGCTGCAAAACTCCCAGATCAGGTAGGCGGATTATATTTAACCATCAAAAATCACAGAATTCATTTTGCACTCATGCTCTTTACAAGGTGTTTCTTGAATAATTGTAAAACCTCTGTGCAGCAGCCAAACTACTCATCTCTAGGTTTTTTTCATTTTACCGGTTGTGTGCCCATGCATACTCAACTAAAACTGGACTTTTTAAAAATTATTTAAAAAAAACCTAGATACTGGCAATGGAAGACGTATTCTGGTCTTTTACTTACATATGGAAGCACATATTTGACATAATTGAATGAATGTGAATTATATCAGCACCTGAATAACATATTTTGAAAATGTATCATTATGGAATACTTAGTTTTGAAAGTTAAATACAGATGAATTTATTGCACTGTAATTCACTTTGACCATCATTTTTCAGAATTTGTGGCCTGAAATTCACTTTGAGAAATTCTCAGTAATCAGTTTCAAGTTGTGCAATTTCCTAACTTTAATTTTAGTATATGTTATTTCAGGAATCTCTAGGTCCACTCCGAGTTTTCTACAGTCAGCTAAGGGTTATGCATTCGGAATTACCACATTTCGTAAAGTGAGACCTAAACGATTTAAGCAACTTTTTAGCCAAATAAATCAAGGATGTATGCAGGTAAATACAGTAAATACAGTGTGTAGTACCTCCAAAAATAGTGCACCCATCTCAAAAATCAACACAGTCTGACGTACCTTCACATTCTCTATACAAAAAAGATTAGTGCGACATTTTGGAAATATACAGGTGCATCTCAATAAATTAGAATATCATGGAAAAGTCCATTTATTTCAGTAATTCAATTCAAATAGTGAAACTTCTGTATTATATAAATTCAGTACACACAGACTGAAGTAGTTTAAGCCAATGGGTTTTTTAATTGTGATTATTTTGGCCCACATTTAACAAAAACCCATCACAATTAAAAGACCCATTGGCTTAAACTACTTCAGTCTGTGTGTACTGAATTTATATAATACAGAAGTTTCACTATTTGAATTGAATTACTGAAATAAATGGACTTTTCCACGATATTCTAATTTATTGAGATGCACCTGCACTTATCTACTTCCTTAGAAAAAGTCTGATGAAAAGACTCATATCTGTTTGTTAAATATGAAGTGGGAGCCAGGAGATAGATGAAATTACCATAAAGACTGGAAACGGGAAAACGGCTTTCCAAAATGTCAGGCTGGTTCGTTCAACTGAACTCCAAATTAACATTGTGTGTGTTTGTGTTCACTAGTGGGCTGAGTACATCCTCTTCGCCTCTCTGCTGGTATTAGTGTGCATCATCTTTGCCATAATGGCCTATTTTTACACCTACACTGACCCAGCCAAGATAGAATCCCAGTTTGACCAGATGGAACCTGAAGAGAAGAAGAAGGAGAAGAGTGTGGAGATGGAAAGAAGGAGCTCTGACTCCAGCTCTGATGAGGAGGTCAACAAACAGTCCAGGATTTAAAACTCTCCACTGTGTTTCCCTCTGCTTATACCGTTTGAATTCTGCTCAGTGCTGTGCTTCATGTCCTTTGGTCATTTTGTCAAAGCAGTCCCGAGCACTGCTGGACATGTAGTGGTTAGAATGAACGGACAGCCTGAGTGAAACAGTACAGAAGTTGTAAGGACACAGAAGGAGGACTTAGATAGTTAGGCTCTTGGTGGACAGTGTCAGTGAAGGATCTTGAAAGGGATAATTCAAACACTATTATCACTATTCTATCTTAAAATCTTGAGAGAATATTCTGTTGCTTAAGTTACTCATGTAATTAAAATTCCTGGATCTTTACTAGTCATTCATTTGTGCTTTAATAAATTTATTTTTACAGTGATTTATTTTGCACTGTGTAGCAACATCTTTATAGAATTTTTGTTCCATAGTATGTGATAACATACTGGAGTACACATACAAAGAAACCATTTGTATTTATTTCCAAGCACAATGTTGTATCTGTTGTAATACTGTAATTCTTACTTTTATATATAGTGCATGATATTCTCATATGCTCCAGGTTAAAATCAAACACAAAAGACTGCTTATTTAGCCAAAAATATTTCATCATAGTCCACATTGAAGCTCATATTTCATTTTCGTTAGGAAGGATACTGCCTTGTCATAATGGCCGTTCATCAAGAGGTTAGAAAGGTTTTGTTAAGCCTGTGCATTAGCCTCCTTTTAAATAAAGGTCTTTTTCTGAACATTAAAAATTGGCATATACAGTGTATGGATAAGTGAACAAAAAACATAAGAGTAAGCAATGGTGCTTTATAAATTTCATCTGCTAAAATGACGGGGGAACTATGGACTCTAAGTGATTTTACCATTTACACAAGGATGATGGTCCCAAACTAAATATGCTCCTAACATTTCATAAATTATGGGCAGTGGCAATTTAATGCATCAGCTGTTCTTGCGACCTGAGTGAAAAAATGGTGGAATATAGGAGAGGAGAGGGGTGATTAAAAAATAGCTCAAAAAGAAAATGAGACCAGCACTAACTCTAAAATTGAACAAATTTAACTGAAATTTTCAAAAAGGTTCAGAATGACAAAGTGGCAGGCACGAACCCTGCAACTCAGACAATTAAAGTTATTTCACAGCTCTCTGGCGACAAATGCTAATGATAGCAGAGTCCCAAGAAGACCACAAGAAACGGTGAAGAAGACCAGATAGTGGCACTACCAGGGCTGGACACTGACTCAAAAGCAACTGAACCATGCACAGCAGGGTATTTAAGACAGCTCCAGCAAACTGGAGAGACTCCCAAAACTGGGGGAACATAAGCACTGTTGAGCAGTGGGCCAGAGATCTTATACAGCATTGATCCCATCACTGACACCTGCTGTACATACTGGGCCAAAGGGGATCTGGAGACTTGTCAAAGCACATCTGTCTACTTCGGCAAGTCTGGGTTTAATTCTAATGCTTGTTATTCTGGCATTAATATGTTGCGGACTTTGTACAGCTTACAATGCATCTGGTGTGGTCTCTTTGCTGTTGTGTTGAACTGTTGAAATATGTGATGAAAAATAAATAAGGTGAACTAATGTACAGTATGTTTGTTGTAGTGAGGATAGACCTGGTAAATCAGTTTCTTGTGGTGATGGTAGGAAAAGGGCCAACAGACAGATCAAGCCCAGGGACCTATGACAGGGTTCTTACAGACCCCGAATGCTTAAATATTGTACAAGATATCAAAGTATTGGCTACACAATTTGATTATAAGCTAGTTATATCTATCAGTCCCCCATTTGATCACAAAGCAAATTGTAGCCAAGAGGTGGTCTAGACACAGGAAGGACATTAAGTTAGCATTAGATCTTTATTTCTCATGTCACTTTGAAAGCTTACATTTAACTTTGAATTCTCAAATGACACAAGCAAAGATTATATACAATACTAGAAACTGTCAGCTATGATAAAAGAAACCAAATGTACACATTTTGCAGTTTTTTTTTTCTGGAGCATATTTTTGCCAGAGGCAGGTGCGCGTAACATATAAGCATTCCTTATTTCCATACTTAAATCTTTGCAGTTATAAAAATATCAGATATTTCTTAATTTCTTTCAATCCCTGTGTTGACAAGTGCGTCTTGATGCAACTCTTCAACATTATTGCTGCATTAGCACAGTAGTAAATTGTGGAACTCTTAAGTAAACATATAGTAAAACATGGCTATTTAGCAACTTTTTTTTAATTTTTTCCCCTCATACAAGTTCCTTTAAATAACACTTTAAAGTGCAAAAAAAAAAAGATCTGAAAACTGGGGGAAAAGGTGCAACTCATACTATAAACATTGGGTGAAAGCATAAGAGAGGACATGGCACTTATATAGCACATTGTGGATGTAAGAACAGCAATGTCTGGAGTGAGGGAACGGGGATTGTGTTGATTCCTATGGCTCATCTTGTCCTGATCTGCTTTAATTTGGCCATGAGCGGGTGTCATGAAGCGATTGCCAGTTATTCCTCATCTCTACTTCTGATTCTAAGTAATGCTAGGAATAAATTACAAGCCAAGGAAAAATAATACTTCACATGGTATTAACATTTCACATAGCCCAAAGCGGTTCCCCTTGAAACTGTCCTCAGATTCACTAAACAGTTATTTATTAACAGCTGCTGACACTGATCTACTTCATTCTTTTGGTAAACAAAGTGAAATTGTCTAACCATACTGCAAGTATGACTACAAAGACTAAGGAAAGGCTTCTCCCTCTAAACAAAGTAATTTCATAGTTTGTTAAATAACTCAGCGGGTGATTGAAATGGACGATTGGAACTCAGTCATGTAGAAAGAAAACACTGATGAATATTGAACTGAATTTCAGTGATGAAATGCCACAACATAGATGCATCTCAAAAAGGCAAGGCATTTTCTGTTCTGTCTGTTGGAGTAACTTTAAATATCTACTTTTAAACATTATCAATATCTGCAAAATGCACATGACCATTTTGTACACAGTGATTTTATTTCCCGCTATGACAACTTGTAATCATGTAGAGCGTGGCAACCCCCTTCCCCTTCTGCCTTGGAGAACAAAGTCCACTTAAAGCACTTTACCTGAGGTTTGATTAAGAATGCTGCAATTTGCTTAAACAGGGAGTGTTACAAGAGCATACACACAAACATGCTCGCAGATGGCACACACGCACAGCTTGCACACAAAGATAATATCCCTGCAGGTTCATCAAGCATGCTTTCAGAGGTTCTGGGGATATGACACCTGCATTAAGACGGGGACTGAAGACTTGTCCTGGATTTGATGGAGATTTTCAGCTCCCATGTAGACACACGGTGATGTGAAGCTGCAGAAGTCTCACATTTCCACAGCCCAGAGTCTGTCTAGCCTGTTGCTGTTTTTCTGGTGGGTTGCTCACACCTCAAGTCCCATCATAGCCGATTCCACGTGCTCTGCTGCCCCCCCCCAAACCTCTCCTCATAAATGAGTACGAGAAACTCTGGAGAGCTTCTCGGTTATTATCCATTTTGAATTTCAGTAATTTTTACAGGCTAGGTTAGCATCCCCCCACACGAGACGTCAATGGTGCTGATTTACTTGACCCCTGACTTTTAACTCTCTGACCAGTCTGTGCTGTTTGGCAGGGGTGGGAGCCAGTCACTATGGGGAGGAGGAGGATGTCCTGCTTGTAGAAAAACTGAAGAAAAAAAAAAGTGTAGATAAGAATGGTACAGGTTAGTAGATGGCATCTAGAGCCCAAACTTAAAAATGCAACAATACAGCTAAAAATCTGAGTTCCATGAACACAGATTTGCTTTTGTGGATAAATTCTGAGTGGAATACACTTACCTCTGGAGCCTGTGGACCATGTGGACTACCAAGGAATCAGAGATGCTGGGGTAGGCCTCTTCAGCCAGCAGGATGGCCTCCCTCAGCTCATCTAAGACCATGGGGTTCCCGTTCACCTGCTCCTGTCTTGCCTTCAGCTGGGAGGGAGGACGCAGACGATGAACCAATCTGAGAAGTCCAATAACCAGTCTGGGCAGAATTCTGTGACATGTCCAAATCTCAAAACCTAATGTGCTGTTGTTCCTCCGTGCGCTACCATAATAACTCAGACCCACTGATGCGTGTACTGTACCTCTTTAGGTGCCCACTGGCATCTGGGTATCAAGACTTTGGCAGCTGATCCCTAAAGTCCTGTAAGTTAGTAGGTGGAGCTGCCATGGATCAAACTTGCTCACATTATCCAACATCCTGTTGCTGGTTCATGGTTTGTCCCTCCCCTGACTACTGTTGGTAGGTTTGCACTACTTCTGTCATAGCGTCTAATATCTCAGACCATGACCTGTGACACTGTTACAATGTTACGTTATTTGCTTCATCTAGGGGCGGACATGATGCTTTGGCTCACTGGTGTAGTTGACAATTGATTTAACTAATCAGTCCAGCTCTACTTGGAACTGGGAAACACTACTGAGGGTGCTGTGTAGAGTTTGGATCCTAACCTATTAAGTGAGAAATCATGTGTGAAGCAGATTCATTTGTAGCCAGCCTGATGGAGCTTCTTACCTCAGCTAATGCAGGATAGATGACTGTGGCCAGGCTCTGTGAATAAGGCCTCTTTGGAATGTCTTTTGTCTGTGGAAACAAAGATGTGTGAAATTGGGATAACAGGAGAGTGGAGGCAAGTTAAAGTAGCACAGCCTCACCTTAGGGAATTTTTTTTTTTTTAAACAGCACAGCATGCATTTCCCTCCAAACAATGTCACACCATTTTAGTATGCGTTAGTTCTTATCAAACAGTGCAAATGGTCTCACCTGGTCTGTTGTCCCCGACTGCCCCTCTCCGTTCTGCAGCTTCTTGGGGTCCTTCTCTCGGATGGTGAAGATCCAGTCATCGTTGCCAAAGTCATTCCCACCTGACGCCTGGCAATCCTGCTCTCTGAATGGATTTGAACATATCAAGTAAGTAATGAAGCCATGTGTGATAAGTGCTTAAAGCTCATCATAACAAATGTAGGAGGATGAGTCAAAATTATCATGAGATGAAAACTAATGTAGAGGAATTGTGAATACAGTGTACTGTATTTTCACAGTACACCAGGAAAAGCATCAACAGACTTACGAGTCAGACTCATCAGAACTGGACTCTGTAGTTCTCGACTGCTCCGTCTTCCACCTCTTGTACTTGTCCACCAGCTCCGTCAGGTAGGAGGTCTTTTTTGCGTGGCGAACAATCAGCTTATGCTTCAACAGCTCTTTGGCAGTTGGCCTCTGTGGACATGAAGAGAAGCAAGAGAGATGAGAGCAGGATCAAGTCTGTACTAACTAACTAAATAAATCCCTTAAATGTGGAAAAGCCACTCACAAAACTCGGTTCTTTGTTGAGACAGGCCTCGACAAACTCCTTGAGCGGTTTGCTGTAGTTGCCCTCCAGTGTAGGTGGGTTGTTCTTTGGGATGAGGAATAATACCTTCATGGGATGGAGCTCTGAGTGAGGCGGTTCACCTTTTGCCAACTCAATGGCTGTGATTCCCAGAGACCAGATATCTGCCTGGAATGCATAGGGATGTATAGTCATAACTTTGCATCCAGAATACATAGACAATCAGAGCTACTACAACTCCTTACAGTAATCCTCCACTTACTTAATTTTGAGGTTCTGTGACCTTTGACCAGCAGTGTGTAAAGCAGCCAGAAAACTGTGCTTAAAATTACTGAGTTGTAAAAAAACAAAACAAAACAAAAAACTACTACTTTAACAACTTTATACAGTCAGTCTCAGTCTGCCGGAAATGACTGTGCATCTCAGCAGAATAAGCACATACTGTAAATTTGTGGTCCCCAAACCACTGGTGTTTTCCAAATGCACAGCAGTGCAAATAACTGTCAAAGCAGCAATGGAAAGATTTCTTACTGTGAACATAGCTCAAGGAAATACAGTTCAGCCAACAACAATACTGTGAGTCACCTAAAAAAATTGAACTGTCTGTGCTGTGAAAACTACTTGGATTATTTGTGGCTAGTGGGAGCTAACTGTCCTACACCTGAATGCCTCAGCTGCATGAAAAAAAAAACTGTCAAGTTTGGCAATGGTACTAAGTGATCTCAACAGACATCTCGAGACAAAACACTCCACATTAGCCAGCAGTCATGCGACGTAAAAGACGAGGGTCACATGACTGATGGAGACAGTTGAAGAGGTCTATTAGCTGCTAGCTTGTGTAGCTGTACTACAGAAGAAAGTAAACACTGAAGGAGCTCCCAACTCGACTGTCTCTGAAAAATTCTTGTTAATCAATCTGCCCCATTCTTTTAATTAGAATTAAAAAAAAAAAAAAGACTGAAGAACAAACTCCACAAAGCCACCCTCCCACAAAAATATAAGATTAAAGCCATACCCATCTTTGGGAAAATGCAAAACATATTTTGAAAATGACTGTTCCAGTATAAATGGCTTTCCAAACGCTGTATCACAGTTTTATTATCACAGAATTCACCAACTCCGTTCTGACTAAAGAAAGGTCATCTGACTAGAGAAAGATCAGACAATAGAGTTGAAACCGCTCAGTGTTACTGCAGTAAAAAGCCATCAAACAGCATTTTCAAGAATCAGTATCTAATGAAAAAAGAAATGCCACGTTAACTGCCTCCTCCAGTCATGTGACCTTTAATGCAGTACAGTATATGGCGTTTCCTCTTTGCTGTCACTTTAGTGTTCTGCTCTTGATACCTGAACTGAGCCCGATGGGACCCCTTGGTACCTGAAGGTTCAGGTCAGGTTCAGACAGAAATTTAGAAATTGCTCAGGTTTGGCCACATAGGTCAAACTTTAGGCTGAACAGGTGTATTTGCACTTGTAAATGAATCCATGCTTTTTCTTTAGTGGAGGATAATTTAAAGTGCTCTGGATATTAAAAATTAAAACGATGAGCCGGTGAAGTGCACAACAACGCTATCCATGATTTTAGATGCATGAAGGCCATAGAAAAACACCACACAAACTCAGCTGCATCGGGCTTGGTTTAGGTTCGGACAGAAATATTTAGCCTGATCCATACTCTAGTGTACAGTATAAATAAAACCCAGTGGCTTTGGCCTCACCTTAGAGTCATAGGCCGACTGTTTGATGACCTCAGGAGCCATCCAGAAGGGTGTGCCCACAAAGGTGTTGCGTTTGATCTGGGTGTCAGTGAGCTGACCAGCTACTCCGAAATCTGCCAGCTTCACCTCTCCTTGCTCAGACAGCAGCACATTGGCAGCTGTGGAGGGAAAGACAGGTTGTGAGATGCTATACCTCTGTCTATACTATTTATCTGCATCACCAATTTATTTCATAAAGAGGGAACCACTATCAGAAGCCTTTTAGCATTCACCTCAGGTCCCCATTGTGGGATCAATAAAGTCCTACCTACCTAATGACAATACAGACTATATCATAAATGAAACCATAAGTGGGCTTCAATACCATTAACCTGCTATGTGATATTTGTGTGTGCTCAGTGACACATTTAGTCAGCTGTAGACTGTGCCCTATCAGCTGTAAGATACCTTTGATATCCCTGTGGATCTTCTTCTCAGAGTGCAGATACTCCAGGCCCTTGAGGATCTCTCTCAAGATTGTGGCGATCTGGGTCTCATCCAGAGCACCAGGCTCCATCTTTGAAAGAAAAGCATTAGATAAAATATCACCAGCCCTATCCTTTATGAGACTTTACTATTTACTAGATACACGTGCATCAAGATTAACAGATAAGAAAGAAAGTGTGGCAGAAACCTGGTGCAGTGAAACACATACCAAGTCTAATGCTGAGCCGCCACCTAAATACTCCATAATGATCCATAACTTTGTGTCCTGCATCAGTGAAGACAGAGGCGAAAAGAGAGAGGTCATTTATTAAGATGGGTACTGGGTTATTGAGAGGTTGTCTGAGCCTACAGTAACTACTTTTAACGCAGGATTGCTCAGGGAAAAATGTATGTAGAAGATGAGACATATTGGAGGTTTGACTTGTGCATGTGTGTAACAAGCATCACCTTCAGGTATGAGCCATAGTACTTGGTGACAAAAGGGCTGTCGCACTGGCTCAGCACCGTGATCTCCTGCTGGATGTCTTCAATCTCGTCCTCTGCTTCCTCCAGGTCTATGATCTTGATGGCCACAACCTTCTGGGTGCGATTGTCAATGCCTTTGAACACCTCGCCAAAGGAACCCTTGCCAATGCGTTCCAGCTTGGTGAACAGCTCCTCTGGGTCCACTTTGGCATTCTGGTGGGGAAGGGGAACAAAGCAGGGAAGGAAGGGGAAGATGGATTTATGGAAAGAAAGACCGAAAAAGGAATGTTTGAAACAAGTGACAACTGGGGAGTTAAAAGCAAACACCAGCCATTCTTAACATTAATTTACTGCCAGCAATAATTTGTCTGTGTACAGAGATAGAAAGATAAACATCCTTCTCACTTTCTGAGAGTTCAGCATCACATCTCTAAATGTCTCATTTTGTATGATCAACACAATCATAAACAGATGAAATCAGTAAATAATCATATCCGACACTTTTTGCTTGAAAAGAACATTCTGTGAAGGTCCTCCAAAGTGTTTGACTAAAACATATTTTCATACTACAGAAGTCAACCTAAAAATAAAACATTTCCATGAAAAGTTTACTGGTCTGGCAAATCTTTAGAATCATTTGATTTGTGTTATGTTTTGTGAGTCACTGTCCTGTCACCTCTTTCATATTTTTGTGGGTTTTGGACAGACCGGGTGCTTGTAAAAGATCTCTAACATCATATTGCTTTTACAGCCAAACAGGAAACTCTCAGGCATAATTCTTGAGGCCACAAGAATAAAAAAGACAAATCAAGTAGCTTTGCTTGATTTCAAACTATGTTAGGGTGGTCAGACAAAGAAAAGCTTTTTTAAAAGCCAGGGGATGTGCTGACATATTCAATGAATACAACAATAACTAAGGCATACATCCAAATTTTCTGTAGCACACTGTAGTGTAATGAAAAACCAACCTGAATGCTACAGGAAGTGACTTAACTCTCCAGAGGCTGTTATGTGGGAAATGCAAGCGCAGGCGCTGACAAAAACAACTTCCTTTTATGAGCTCTTTTGGGTAGAGAAAGGGTCAATACCGTCTGTTTTGAGATAGCTAAAAATTAAACAGCATGACAGGACCTTTTTGGTGCCTTGAAAGATATTTATTCAAGAAACTAAACAGTGATTCTGCTAATGGAAAGTGGTGCAGTGATACAGCAACGAGTTTTATTTAAAAAAAAGAAAAAAAGCTTTGTTAGAAAAGGTTCAAACTGGAACAAGCGAAAGACAAATGATGACTGCTGCTGCCAAATTTACATTTTACTCTGCTGGGGCAAGACCTATATTGAACGGGTAACCTGTGAAACATCTGATTCCACTTGTCTCTGTGTCCTGTAGTTAATTTGGGAACACTAGCTGCCTTCACATTACTCGACTTACTTTAAAACAAACAAACAAACAAAAAAAAAACCCTGCTTACAACACAGGGAATCTGGTGCATGAAGCAGTTTACATTAGAGCAGTTAGCACCTCTAGTTATCTACCCAACACAATGATGTCCTATAGGCACTATCCTAAAGATAGCTGCTGAGTCGAGAACAAGACTCCCGAATACTGAGTTAGAAAGCTCCGTTGCCTTCCAGTGATAACTGAAATATTGGAATTTCGCATCCAATGTCCGTCTTGCTGTTGCAAAAATGTGGCATTCAGTGGAAGTCTGCCGTCAATGGCAACACAGCAAAAATATAAACTAAAACGTGCCCTATGGGTTATAGTTTGCCTAAATAGTTTGGACACGGCATGGCACGTATTTGCTTTCGTGTTTGAACTCATGGTAGCATAAACATAACAGCAGTGCATCATAAGATGATTTCCAATATTTCCCGACAGCATCAGATTTTACGAGGCTTCCTACTTGGGTCCTAAAATACCCCAAATCACTGAAGGGTGCAGTGCACAAAACCACAGCAGGGAATCACAGACTGGTACATTTTGTTCTGGTACTGACCTAAATGACTTATTGAGGAGCAAACCGTAAAGACATATGGCTTACCTGCATCCCCGGCAGGTTACCCTGAACGGGAGAATGGGCCATGGTGATGCTGCCTGGATCTGCGCCTCGTCCAACAACGCAGAGCTGAGATCTCGCTTTCTCCCACCTTTATGTTTACAGTTTCGGATGTGGTACCGTTAATGTCAGCAGTCCTCCAGAATACCTGGTCATCCAGGCCTACTGACAACTGTCTCCGGTACTTTTATGTAGAAAATGTCCTTCGCTCACACACTGTTGTACCTTTCTTGCGTCGCAACAACCCCAAGTTTTCCCAAAAACAGCGGAACCAGCTAACTGACGCTTGCTAACGCTAAATTTGAAACTGCAAACAAGAAATCCGCAATGTTAGCTTGCTAATCGGTTGGCTAAGCGTTAACTAGTGCGTTAAATGCCATTTGCCACTCAAGGAAGCAAACTTTAATTCTTAAAAACTATCAACTGACAACAGCTATTTATTTAAAAAAATGTCCCAACTGTCACTTTCTAAACACGTATTCTCTCACTAACGGTGTTGTTAGCTAGCTAGCCAACCCACGCAACGACCTGACAAACATTCTGTCGGTGAGCTGACTCGGAGCACAATTTGTCTGCATAACGCAAATGTCACCCACAAAACGGAATCATAAAAAAACTGATTACCCAGTTTTTATCTTTGCGCCAACTTATCTTCAGCAGCTGTACAGGTCTGGTTTTTGCGGTAAATATAACTCGCCAATGTTTTTGTTTCCTCCCTCATTTTCCTCCCGTACTCTCAGCCATCTTGTTGGTGCCGTGACGCCTGGCTAGGCGGATCCGGATTAACAACATCCTCTTTCATCCAGGTGCTGATTTAGGTGGATGAACCCGGGTCCCCAGACCTTTTTAAATCAACGATACATAACGAGATCCATATGAGTCCTGTATTTACACGAAATCCTATGTGACAACATTTTTATCGGCAACTGTGCTCTGGTCCAGATTGACTGAGAATGTACGGTTATGGGTAATTAATAGATCAGTTATCTTTTACACAACTGTACGCCGAATACATTTACTGATTGCGTTAATTTTCTGTTCTGCATGGGGCCTTGTGAAAGTCTCTCAGGGACCACTCTCTTGGGAACCACTGGCTGGTAATCATACTGAAATGCACTTTTCTTCATTAAAAGCTGCCTTACTTTAGTAACTTTATACTTTTGTAACACAAATGCAATATGAGAGTAACCTAAATCGAATTTTGATCATAGTGTAGCCCCGATCAATTTAATGGACATTTCTTGAGTGTGACCACAAGAGGGCGCCAGTGACTAAATGTGCCTGCAGACGCATCCTTGTGTAATGTGGATACTGAAACCGGTGCATCATCGCGTGCTGCGGCTAGAATTAATAATGGAATGGTCCTGTATTACTGCAGCTGAGAGGCTAATTATATATTTGTGTCTGACCCGAGAACAGAATCTGATCATAATGATAGCTGCGGTTGTTTTCAACCTGGTCGAGGGAAACTGAGTAAACATGGGTAATTCAGAGAAGATACTGCCTACACATTAGGAAGGAATTGCAGCATGATTGTATGATTATTGCTGCAGCCTTTAAATTGGATTTCACTGTTAGGAGGGATCATGGGTTCTATAGGTGATAAAACACAGAGATCTCACAGAACACTGTTGTTTAGGCTATAGTGGAGAGTGTTAACATGTCCCCCTAAACAGGCTACAAGAGATTTTCATTCGAAACCTTGTACAACTGTGTGGCAGAAAATACATATTTATGAAGGAATAGCCCTCACAAATTAATTTGTAGATGAAAGTGTGCGCAGAGCGGCTCTGGTTTGCGAGGCTCATCATCGCTGCGTCCTGAGCTCAACGCGTGTACTGGGAAGCACTACTTCCCTCCTCCATGCGTAAATTATATAGGGCAGGGCGGGAATGATTTGCTACCTCCATTTCAGAAAACCCGGCCGAACGGAGTAGCACATCACGACTTGATTATTGTGTAGCCAAGGCGAAACAAAAATGGACATCAAGGATCAAGGAGCTCAAATGGAGCCGCTCCTACCAACGGTAAGAGAAAATAGATATGTGTTTTGTGTTTATATATTCAGTTTCATATAGCTTTTGAATCATAGACAAACCTGAATGGACTGTTGGTCCCCAGTTTATGTAATTGTTCTTTAGAATAACGCAGACACAGTCAGGATTAAACGCTACATCAATATATGATTCATATTCAATGCATGTGTATTTCAGTATGACCCATATATTGACTGCTTCACCGGTGGTGTGCCTCTTTGATATCATGATAAATATGGATGTTGCACATCACAAATTGGCATGATTGATATGTTTCCGTGTCCACAGTTCATATTTGAGCAACAATATTATTCAAACTACACCTGTGCCCTCACGCAGTGCGCATTTGTAATGCTGAATCGGTTGATACAATGTTACACAGCAGCTACAGTTAAAATTCACTCTATTGCCTGCATAGAAAGGATCCCCTTTGTCTTTCAGCAAAATCATGGTTTACCAAGTTGGCTGTTCATTTTATGTTCACTTTTATCAAGCTGTTGCTTTAAGTGTACTGCTGGTTCAAGATGCTTCACCAGTGAGGAGACAGAGGGAGGTATATTCCTCATCAGTTAGATGTATGAGATCACTGTCTTTATATATTTCCACAAGGAGATTTGCTGGTTCATTGCAACACTTTCATAGCCTATTTTGAGTGTAGAACACTTGATATGACATGATAATCTGATTCTTTCACATGCGTACTGTACATGATAGCCCTGGCGTCCCTCCCTTCTTTTGAAATCACCATCCATCCACCTCTGACTTCTGCTAACTAGCATCTCAAAGACGTTTTTATTCTCTTCAGTATGGGATCAATTTGTATCACATGTTGGTGGAGTACAACAAGGAGCAAAGTGTTCCAAAAATGTGTCCTGTCAGGTCAGAGTCCTCTGAGCATACTGTCAGACTTTCAAACAAGCCTAATGTCTCAAGCCCACCTCTGCAGTCTGTCTCTCCTCATTAGCATTCAGGTGAGACTGCGCTGTCAAAGGAAAAAAAAATCCACTGTCTTGGTTGCACTGCCAGATGAAATATATTGCTTTGTTTCCCATCCTAAAAGTAGTGATTTCTCTAGAGGCAAATCAGCGCTCTCCTTTTTTGTTCTATTTGTGGACACGTTACACAAGGACAGTTTTCCAGATCTTACAGAGTACAGTGAAGGCTGACTGATGTGGCGTGGGATGGCTGTTCTGTTTCCCCTGCAGTCTCAGTGCAGGGTGGTTGCTTCCCTGTCATTGTAACTCATTGCTGCTTCTCCTGTGCCTCAGCCTACGCAGCAAGCAAATGCGTTGTCATGGTATCACCAGGATGTGTATGGGTATGTGAGGTGTTAGTATGGTGAGAATTTCAGGGGCTCCTCAGTACACAACACAGCTAGACAAAACATTGCATAGTACCCCATGCTACCAGATTACCAAGGTTCCAAGGTCAAGCATGAGGGTATGTTTAATTTACAAGAGGAAGGACTGTATTTGAAAGCATCATCTCTAATACCGCACTCAGTTGCTGGCACTTGAGTTTACTACATGTTACGGAGGTTCTTAACAGAGCATCTGGCATGACAGTAATACACCTACGTTTGCCCTGTTGAGTAATTTCTTGATGTTCTTTTATTTGCAGGAACAAAGTTCCCAAGAAAATAAAGATCCAGTGAGTACATTTCTCATTCACTTCATCATGGCCTGCAAAAATGTCACATTGATTTGCCCAGTAATAACAATGACAAATCGGTTTAATGCACTTGTTAAAAACCTGTTTTAAAACGCAGGGATAAAATCAGAAAATCCATAGTAAGTAAGAAAGGGCAAGCATAATGAACGGGGGGTCACAGCAGTGGAACACAAAGTTCAGCAATGGAAAGTTCAGTCAAGTACTGGACTTAAGCAGAATTTTAAGGAATTTTTACTTTGAGTATTTATTAATTTTTACTATTTTATACCTTTTGCTCCACTACATTTCAGAGGAAAGCACTGTACATTTTACTTTATTGCAGAACTTGAATTATTTTGCAGATGAATATTTTACATAAAAACAAGATTATAAAATCAGCTATAATCCCTGTTTTCTGAGAAAACCACCATATAGTACCTGCAGACAGACAGAATTAGAGACTAGCTGGTGAACATAGTGGGACATTTAGCAGCTAAAGAGCCTGATATTAATCACACCTGTTGGTGGAGACCAAAAATGAGCTAAAAGAAAGTGAATATTGGACTTAAATTTATCAGGTGGACATAGCTAATGCTAATGTTTCTCTCTGCTTGCTGGATGTGTACATAAGATGCTGTTAAATATAATACTTCACTATTATTTTTACTGTGCATTTCTGCTGCCCCCAAGTGGTCAGAAATCCACTAGTGCAGGTTTAAAAGGGCTCCTTGTTATGCTTCAGATGTCTGAGTTGGTAGGTTCCTCCAAAGAAACATTTCTCTTCTAAATTCAAGGTCCAATAGTTCATAAAAATGTCCAAACCATTCATATAAATTTGTGTAGCAGAACATTCTGTTTTCTTATTAATTATCTCAGGACACCTAAGATTGATCTTGTGACCCTTTGCAGGACCCTGATGCCACTAAAGTAAACCTTACTTTTAATGTTATATAAAGTAGTTGATAATAGTTCCACCTTGACCAGATACAAGCGTAAAATACTAATGTCATATAAAAGCTTACATGGTATAAGTGTAAGACAACAAATGAGCTAGCTGCACAGAAGAGTTTAGATGAATGCATGTCTGTTCTGACAAATTCTTGCTTATGCAGCTATGGTGCTGTGAGCCAGACTGAGGATAACAGTCAGCTCTAAGTGTCTGCCACAGGCCAAACTGTGAGCCCTCCACTTACTATAGCACTATTCTTGCCCATTAGCACTTCAAATAATTAGTTGTATATGTAATTGTGAAACTAAAAAATGGGTTGTGTTTGAACAAATTCAAACAATCTCAGAAAAAATCTTTTCCAATCATCCTCCTTTAATCTTATAATGTCTCTGATGAACTGTAGTGGTGATGGTTTGCTGGAGATTTATAAGTAACTATCAATTTGTTCGCCGAAAAGTTTTAAAGGGCACAAAGCTGCTTATTGACACAACTAGTCTGTTTATTTGCTTTGTGTTATAATAGAAGTGCAGGTGGTAGGTAGAATATGTGGTGTAACCTTTAGTAATTGTGCAATAAAACAGTTTTAGATTAGATTTAGGACTACTTTGTGGACGCTGACTTTGTGAAACGCCACTTCAAACAGATTCAGTGCTATTATGGCACTGGCCTGATCTTAAAGAAAATGTATGACATTTTGAAGAATTTGTTCATTCAAGAGAGTTACGTGAGAACATTGCTTCCGCTTCCATGTCTGCACATGAATAAGCGTATTTCCCACAATACCAAACTCTTCGTTTAATCTTGAATTCAGCCGCAAGAACATCTGCTAGTTTTGTCTTTTAAAAAAAAATAAAATCCTTTATTTTGCATGACTTTTGGCAGGAAGTACATGCTCTGCTGCGCCTTCTCGATGATGGCACAGCAGAGGATGTACTTCCTGCGTCAGCTCAGGAAGTTCAACCTGCCCCAAGAGCTGCTGATACAGTTCTACAGAGGAATCATCGAGTCTGTTCTCTGCACTTCCATTACTATCTGGTTTGGATCTGCAACCAAGCTGAACAGGAACAGACTCCAGTGGACAGTCAGGTCTGCAGAAAAGATCACTGGTGCAAGCCTACCCTCCATGGAGGATCTGTACACCTCATGGGTCAGAAGGAGGGTGGAGAAGATTTCTACAGACCCCTCACACCCGGGACACAATCTGTTTGAACTCCTCCCTTCTGGACGGCATTACAGGTCACTGTACACCAAGACAACCAGGCACAAGGACAGTTTCTTCCCCCAGGCCGTCACTCTGATGAACACTTGACCCACAACAGTATGACTGGACAATAACCCTCAGGGCAGTAAATATACATTGTACATATAGATTCGTCGAATCCAGACTGTGTGTATATAGTATTTTATTTTTACTCCTAAGGCACATTCCTTTGCTTGATAGCACATTAGTTCTTTACTTCTGTTCTCAGCCCTATATTGGTTACTGCTGCCTTACATAAGGCCATGTACAATACATACATTCTGATTCTGATTTCAACATAGCCAGTAATGAAAGACAAATGATGTTGTATTTGTTTAGATTGTCATCATTTTAAGCAGCTCTTATGTTACCAGCGAGTAAAAGCTTAAAGCATCAGAAACATTGCTAATACACATACAGTATATTCTTTTTATATTAAATATATTAGTTTGTACAGTGTTAAACTGTTTGAAATGCCCATGTACTTGATTTTAATGCCAGTGAATCAGATGACTGCATGTTTTGTTGCGATGGAGAGATAACGCTGTGTTGAAGCAATAAAGGTTTCCAGGCATTTGAACCAAAAAATGGTTCATGTGTTAAAGCTTCGGGTGACCATGAAACCACCTAGTAGTCAAAAGAAGTCATCACAGGAATCTGTGTACTCAGTTATGTGTAGATAGACTTTGAAGCAGGCCCTTTTGCATTTATCAGTATGCATAAGGGCCAACAGAGCTTTCATAATGTGTGAAACATGGGTTTGATTCCCACATTGCTTCAGAAATATAATAATAAGGATAATCACCTTTATTTGGCAGCCATCTGTGGTGCCAACTCAACCGATGGCTCTAACCATCAGTTCAGTGTCTTGCCCAAGGACACTTGACATTTGGACTGCAGGCACCGAGATTCAAACCTCCAATCGAATCTACCCTAAACCACAGTTGCCCCCATTAATTAAAAATGTGTCTTCAGAATAGTCAACAGAATGTTCTTAATATAAACAAAATAAACATATTTTATAAAGCAGTCAAAATGCACATGTGAGAAGACTGAATGTGTTTCAGTGACTGTGCAGACAGGGAAGGTGGGAACATGGAGTTGGCTGCTATTCTTCATAAACAATATTAGTTCAGAGAGTGTGTGGTGAGAATGCTTGTGTGTATCCAGGCTCACAAACAATAAATGATGACAGCGTAATGTGTACTGTATATGGTTTACTTTGTTGGGAGAAATTAAATGGAAATGTTCCTGTGCTGGGGATAGAGCATGGATCGGCCTGCCGTGTATTTCTGTCTGAACCCGACCACTGCACGAGAATGCCCCCTAAGCCCGACCCGAGCCCAACGCAGTTGAGCTTGTATGGTGTTTTTCCCCTTATCACAAAGCAGACATTTGAGTGCTTCAGCCATCTAGCCTAAAGTGTGACCTACATGTCCGAACCTGGACCTGACCCAAACTTTGTTGGTCTTGAATCCTTATGAAACTTGAGTAGAATTCAAGTGGACCAGGTCCTGGATTCGACTTGGACTTGATTGACATGGCCCTAATTACAATCCTGACATAGGCTCTTTGCCAGGCTGTCCATTTAGAGCTTGTTGATTGGCTGAGTTTGAGATCAGTGAGAACAGATGGAGGAAATCTGCTGGAGTTGCCTGGGCTTGTACTTCTGAGCGTGGTGTTCTTGGATCAGTGTGAAGTCTCTGTTGGATTTGGTGATCAAACTGTGCAGGCTGGAAGGCAGTCAGGAAGCCTTCCCACTGCAGCAAGGAGCCTAAGACCGGCTGTGCTCCTTTGTCTGGTTAATCATACCAGTGCCAGTGGAGAGGAGGTTGCAGAGGGCATAGTGGTAGGTGGACAGAGAGGGCACAGAGCTGGATGGAGCACAGATGGCTAGATGAGGAGAGAGACATTAAGGAAATGAGATTTTGTATTGTTAAGTGTGACCTTCACCTGTAAAGACTGCAAAGTTGCTGGAGAAAACTTTATGAAATATCAGATAACATACTGTAGACCAAAGATAGCATTATTGTAATTTGACAGTCACATCAGCCAGTGCTGCAGAAATAGCTGCCTCTTCCTCCCGATCTCTTTCTAGCACACCACGTCTCGATCACAGTTTTTGCTGACAATGCACTACAGCCAGAAAGCAGCTTCTTCATCTCAGGTAGGTTGCACAGACACACAGACACTTAAAGATGCACATACGGCACAAGTAAGACTGCACTCACTGGTTTTTCTTCTTCAAGTGTGTGGTGATCTTGGCTCGTGTAGTTGTGGGATGAATAGGGGCTGTGTGAAGCCCCTCATCCAGTGTGGTGTTATTTGACTCCCCGCGATCTAAGGCTGCTCTTGGATAACAGAGCCACAGAGCTCGGTGGCTCAGTAGAGCAGAACTGTGCATGCCACATTGTCGGTGATGTCAGAGCACTAATCTCTCTGGGGATATTGGCGGATGGACACTTGTCAGAAATATTTGATGCTACCCTGGATGAAAGCCATTGGAGGCAGAGGGAGAGACAGAGGCAGAGCTGTGCTGAGTTCCCTGCTTTTGGTTTTTATGTTGTGTTGTGGTGCTTTCGGAATGAGGTTACTAGCGTGTTCTAGCATGGGAAGAGCCACTGAGGAGTGATGAGGGAGCTCAACACAAAAGTTGACTGTCTTTTTCGGCTATTCTCTCTGAATTTTCATACTCAATTACAAACACCCTCAGAGCTCAGAGAGCACTCAGGCTGTGAGCCTTAGCCTCTCATCTTACCACTCCTGCAAACACAAGGGGAGTTAGCGGGCATCCTGCCCCAACTTTAAGGATGCACACCATGCTCTCAGTGGACCAAAATACAGGATTCATTTATCAGGTGGGTTTTGTGCTTAAGTAATCAGTCTGTTAGAGGGTGAGAATTTCTTTGACTTTGCTGTGATTCAAATAGTAACTAGTATACCATTGCTGAACTTTATTTATTTTGGCATCATGCAAAAATATGCATTTGTTTCTGGTCTAGTTTCAGACTGATTTGAATGCACTAGTGTTGTGACACTGAGGTTAAGCACTAGCTGGAAAAAGGTTGCACATGATCATAACTACATAAATGTAATGTATGTATAGTTAACAGGCTCTGGGAGGCTTGATTTCTGTGCCGCAGAGAGGGCCAGTTGTAATGATGTGCTTGCTAAAGGTCCACAGGACTTTGGCTGACAGATGGGGCTTTCATTCTGGGATGATAGAGGAGCTTATACTCACAGAACTGACCCTGGTGATCTCTGAGGGCAAAACGGGTGAACAAAAGCCAGATTTGTTTGTGTTTGAGCACTTTGTTGTGAAAATACATTTTTTTCTTTTTGTACTTTTACCTTTTACCTTTTACCTCTACCCAACCTTGGTAGACATGTACCCAGTGTACTTAGCATATTCTTTTCTGTGATGGTGGCCGATTCTGTTGCCACGGTAACCATGGCCATCTGTAAGGCTGAAAACCATGACAACAGAAGCTGTCAGCCAATCATATGGCTTGTACAGCTGCGGATAATCTATCTCTGCTCTTAGCTACAAGCTATAGGATTAGTCTGGCTCTTAGTACATGTAGAAAGTCCACTGAAAGTAAATAGATCTTCTGCCTGAAATGCCAGGGATAGTTTCTGGATGTACTTTGGAGAATGAATGCACTTTTCTTCATCTAATATGATTTTTACTGTATACCTCCTGGCCTAGAGCTCAGTCTCATGTAAACATTCATCATCCCTGCTGTTGTGAAAGTCTCAGGAGATGTCCCTGAAGAACATAGAAACGAGGTCACCTATCTGCTTCCCAGAGATAGACGTGATCATTCCTTTGTACAGATTCCTGGAAAGGAGCTTGTGAGAATCAATAGGTCTGTGATTTATCCTGGCCAGGAAAATGGAAAAAAAACTTTCAGACAAATAAAGTGCTGACACTTGAGGACATCCTTTCTGTTGTTCTATGACTGGTTACACCTGAAAGATAACATCACTGGATAGTTGATATGCTCAGGCAGTGTTGCATTTGCTGATGTTGTGTTTTCTTCTATGACATCTTTAGTTGACATTCCCATGTGCTGGGAGAAACCACCTGTGTAAAAATTAAGATACTTGAAATTTTACTTTCTGTTTAGCTTTGTAGACTGATCCTCATTCTAAATGCAACAACTATTGTATCTGTGACACTGGGAGCCAAAGCACTGGTTTAAAAGCATCAATTGACCATGAGATTTAAAAATCTGGGGGATAAATGTGCAGTCCTTCATTACATGAAGAACCCATCTTCATTTCTGACATTTCAAAGGGTGATGTGCAGTGAACCTCTTTAAATTCACTCAAGTCCAGTTTTTGTTGACAAAATAAAGCTAACATACCTACTGTGAGTAATAATCTTGATAATTCAGAACAACTTAACACACAGTTTTAGCTTGAGCACATCCCATTCACATATTCAGAAAAATGCATTTGGGTCCTTACATACCACTGCACATCACTTTTTTTGGTAGATCAATTGTGGATTTAAGGGTATTGTTTTAAGTTGGTGTGGCCATTAAAATACATTTTGGTACTTATGCTCGTACTGTATTTCCAAGCTACCTGTTAAAAATTCTAAGCCTTAAGCCTGAGCTGAGAAAACCCATATGACATCATCAGGGCTTTTTCCCCCTGACTTTGAAAAGCTCCTCCAAAACTACAGGAGACATCTTATAACTTCACATCACTGTGTCGCTGTGGCACAAACAGCAAATGGAAGTGAGTTTCTACATAGGCAGCACTGACAAAAGCTCTCAAAATGCCTATAGTGTGCATCATTTACAGTTTCTCAAATCAATCACAGTGACAAAGCAGGAAACACTTTCATCAAGTACCAAAAATAGTTGTTCATAAATGCAGGAAATTGACCAAAAACACTGGCATTGTGTTGAAATGTGTTCCCCCTCTGAGATGTTTCCCCCTGTTAAAACTGTTTCCCTTAGTGCTCCCATAAAAGTGGTTGGGGCTAGAATAAGGCTTTGATTCAGGTTAAATTAATAAGGGGAAACACATCTTAACAGTGCGACAGTGGTGCGGTGGGTAGAGCAGTTGTCTCCCAGCCGGAAGGTTGAAGGTCTGAATCTCGGTGCCTGCAGTCCACATGTTGAAGTATCCTTGGGCAAGACATTGAACCCTCAAGTTGCCCGTGATGGCGGCATGTATGCATGCAGCGGCCCGGGGCTCTCGGCTCCAAACAAAATTTCGTTGTATGTGTTACAATGACAATAAAATAAAGCTTCTTGATGATGGAACACGCTTCAACGCAGCACTGGCAAAAATGGCTTGTAAGCCTTTATCTGGGGCCAGGAGGAGCACAGTGGACTAATGCTCCTTTGTACAGTGGCCACTTACTGTACGTAGCTAGCTAACTGCTACCCTGCTGTGTAGCTAGAGTCACCCTTTGAATAGCGGGTTTTTATATATTTTGGAACATAAGTGTCACTACTTTTTCTAGTAAAATGCACTTACTCATGGCCCTGGTTTTAAGTTTTGATAGGGTATAAAATCCACATATGCAGTTCTCTTTCATTGCTCTAAACACAAAAACCTAACTAACAATTCCCAGTTGTGAGTTCTTGGACAAGAATTATCTATGTTAGTGATTTTGATGCTCAGATGGCAAACATTTCTCATGAAGGTCATGAACTACAATCGCTGTGCAAAAGCTTGCACCGTGTACACATACATGAACACACACACTTAATGCTGTATGACATTAGAACATCCTCTGGTCCTTGGTTCATGTCAGGCCCAAAGCCTTTTGCCTGAAGCCTGTGTGGTGCTTATTCATCCACACTGCCCTTCCCCATTCGCACCACTGCCTGCAAGAGGAACTGTGTGCATTAGCAGGCCACATGTGTGTCCCTCTGTGTATAGTACATGTGCAGCCCCCATTGTACTATTAGGCTATTAGGACTAATTTGTGTACCTACAGAAACAACTGTAAAAGGAAGAGGTTTTGATGAAAGCTAGCTTCAAGGTGAACATATATAGACATACATTCATGTTATGTCACCATGCCTGGTCACACATCTACCCCCCCTCCACCTCGAACATCCTGATGAGTCTTGGACATGTGCTCTTTCCTCCCCTGAAGCCTTCATGACTGACCAACAGCCCAAATGAAAAACAGCTGATTTAGTTCTCTCCACCAGGCAGACCATCACTGATCCCATGATCAGAGACAAGGTTTTATCCTGCTGTAAAGGCTGCCAGATTAATCTCAACTCAGACTGGTGAGCTGGGATGCAGCTCTCTGGCTGGTCTGGGGTCAGCACCGAATCAGAGAAACCAGACTCTATTAATAGAAGCAGGGACCTGCAGGCAAGAGATTCTGGTTCATGTGTCATACTGAGCAGCTTTGTCTGGAACTAAACGGAAAGGGGCATAACATCAGGCTTTGAAATATCAGATAATTTCAGATATTATGTCAGATAAATTGTTGTCACTGGAGAAAGACTAAACGATACAGAAATTAAGTTGTTAGGGTAATGAGGCAGATTTTAGGGTATTGAGTGATCTCATCAGACTCTCTTATCAAGTTTTTTGACTTCCGAGTCCGAATACAGTCAGTGCTCAAATCCAAATCCAAAGATGAGTCACGTGTCCTAAAAATTATGACTTAAGTCAGACTCGAGTCAGAGTCGAGGACTTAATTTCTACAACGCTGAATTAAAGGCTTGTTTTATAGTCTGTAGAAGGTAGAAATGAGATTTGTTAAGGTATAACAATCCAAATGAACAGGGTTTGGACTGGCCTCTCTAGCCGATCACTTGTAGTGGAAATCAAGAATAACAAAACTGTACAGTGTATGATGTGCATTACCACCAAATAAGACTATATTTTAGCATGATACTTAACTTGACACACAAACAGCTCTGCTGTCAACCATATGATAATGGCTATATTGTTAATTACTGCTCCTGAAGACGTGCATTTCCTATTTAATTCGGGAAACAAAGTAATTGTTCTTTCAGAGTAAATTATTAATGCTTCTGTTTTATCTTGTTTCTCTAGTACTGCATCACTGAGCACATGTTTCAAAGAAGATCTGTTAATAACTGTAATTAGTCTGCATTAATGAGCTGTTATAGTTTGGTTCTGATAACTGTGATTGATGGGTATTTTTTTTTTTAATACTGAACAGGGCAACAAAGTATATGTGTAATCTGTGAATTGCATCGAAGTGTTACTGTGCTCAGTGTTGATTTGGTTTTCTGCAAATCTGTTTTTAACCATCATGTAAGCTGGGACGTTCAAGAAAATGAAATCCCTAAATAGTGTTAGGCAATCGATTTATCAGTAAGCATTGCGTTGCACAATAAATGTTAACCACAAACTTGATGCTTAAGTTCTCCACAATTTACAGTGAAATGTGGCTATGCTCTATTTTCCTTAGAAAAAAGATGCCAAAGTCTGCTAGTCATATACAGCGGTGCCATGGCCACTGCAGTGCGAATACAGGGGAAATGCAATGTAGATACAGGAGACTCGAGAGGTGAATATCAGACTGCGTGTTAGATGTGTATGGGTTAGAAGAGGTTACACACAGTCTAATTCAGTGCAGTTCAACAGTGGTTTTAATATGTTCATCCTGTCAGGGGTGGAACATTTTGGACAAGGTGGCCAGGTTGGGCCACCCCCTTGGCTCCACCCATTCATCATGTTGCCCCAGGTTGTGCTCAGTCTGGGGTTTTGAGCTACATACTGGCTGAATTTAGATGTGTGTAGTTCTCATGGGTTGTGGGTAGGGAGTTTCCCTGGGGACCTGCAGGGCCAGCCAGCAGTGCCGGCCTCTGCTCCTCTCCCAGGCTTTGCTGCTGTCACT